CCAACTACCAGGTGGTTTTTGATTATCGTTTAATTCACTTTAAAATATGTTTTCTTGCGTTTTCTAGCGCAATATTTATGTTTCTGTGGTTGTGCTGCTACCTGCGTCGTGTTGAAAAAAAAAAAATGAGCTCCAGAATTTGGTTTCCGTACCCCTTTAAGGCTACCGAATTCTGCATAGCACCATCTATTGTGTTCTTTATATTTGTATTTTTTTTTTCGCTGTGAACTTCTCCCTCCTGCTTGCATCTACAGGGTGATTCAAAGAGACGCTAGGCTCTTTAAATCGACCGCAAAATTCGGTTTCTGAGCCTATCACGCTAGGACTCTGTGCAGCGTTGCCCACAGGTGGTGCATCTTTTTTTTTTTTTTTTAATTTGCAAAGAGCGAACTTTCCTGAGAAAAAAAGTAAAGAAAGAAAAGGGCTTAGCTCCTTTGGAAATGCAGCGACGCCACCGGTCTTCAAACAACACGGCGCCGTTTCGCATGGGAGACGAAGAGATGGCGCAACGAACGCCACCAATGAACGAGCATACGGCGCCGAGAGCCGGCGTTTTTAGCAGACAATCTTTTCGACTCAAAAGCGGCGCATGTTCCGCAGGCGCCGACAGTCGCAGAAACAAAAACCGGCGCGGTAACATCAAGGAAGTGCAGTTCCTTGTCTGCTAAAGATGCCGGCTCTCAGCGTCGAATGCTCGTTCGTTGGCGGTAGTTGGCGTCGCGACCGCTTGCGCCATCTCTTGTCTCCCGTGCGAAACGGCGCCGTGTTGTTTGAAGACCGGTGGCTTCGCTGTGTCTCCATGGGAGCTAAGCCTTTTTCTTTCTTTAGTTTTTCCTCAGGTAAGTTCGCTCTTCGCAAATTTTACAAAAAAAAATTGCACCATCTGTGGGCAGCGCTGCACAAAATCGTAGCATGATTGGTTAAAGGGATTCTACAACGAAATTGCGGCGCTCGTTTTTTGGTCTATATGTGTTCAAAGGAGCAGCATCACATTGAAGTCATACCAATATCTTGTTAAAAAAGTTACAAAAAGGAATTTTAAAACGAATTAAATTATTAGCAAGGAGCACCTGGTGGATGTCGCTAACGCCTCGCTTGTAATGCCCGTCTAGGAACCTTGACAGCTAGTGCGGGAGGTTGTCTCGCCTCCGGCCACGACGAGAGAAGAGGGGCAGGAGGAACTCCCCTCTTCCCGAGAATGCCTTTTGTGTGTCGCAGAAGTCGCTATTGTCCCCCTACAAGATTACAGAAGATTAACCCGTCACTCAAAATTCGTACAAAAGCAGCCGCTTCGGTGGCTGGAACGACTAGGCTATCCTCTCGACGTCAGCCTCGCCGTAGCTTTGCTCGTGCTGAGACGAACTACGTCACGATTGCGTTGGATGTCACGTTGTCTCCGCTGGGCCTTGTCCGAGCGCTTGCCAGAGTGGGCCGTTTATAACGAAAAATACAGCCACCGGGCTCAAAATACAAACGTGTGATTGTCATTTACGAATATTGTGGATCATATTCAACCTATTTTTGAACACGGCGGGAATATTTCATATTTCGTTGAAGTATCCCTTTAAGAAACCGAATTTTGCGGTCGATTTAAAGAGCCTGGCGTCTCCTTGAATCACCCTGTACATAGTAAATTGCAGCACGATAAGTTAAAAATACGATTTTTGCGGGCCGCCTAAGTGTGTACTAAAGAACACTGACAGAGTATTTATGCTCGCCGAATTCTTTAGTTGTACATGACATATGAAAGCCACAATACATATGAAAGCCACAGAACACAACTGGCGGCCCGAAATTCGGTTTCTTTCCGTCCGAAAACCGCCGGTCGAGAACTGGCCGGTTTGAGTCTCTCTCTCTGTCTCGCTCTCTTTCTCCGTGGTCACGTGCCATTTTCTGTGGTTTAAGCACAACTACCAAAGATAATCACAATTGTGGGTCATCAAGGCACACTCTCAGTACTAAAAATGAACAAAAATATGATATCCATTTTTTTCGGCATATAAGAAGCTGCAAATACGTTGATTGTAAAAATAAAATAAAAAAAAGTTTCATAGCCACGTGACTTCCGGTAACTTTCTCCTCTATATTTCTTCTTCCTTCCCAGTCCGATTTCGGTTACGGTTTTTAGCAGCTACGATTTTGATTTTTTTGTTTTTTAACTTTATTAAAAATATACGTGTCGTTGTCTTCTGACACCATAATCAACTGTCATGGCAACTTGCGCGCACTCTGTGACGTGACGGCTAGGCATAGGGGGTCACGTCACAGCGTCCTGGGCTGTCGCAATGGGAATCAGCGCGCGGCGCCCCTTTTGGCCGCTCATATGTTAGAAGCGTGCATACGTGTCGTATTTCGGGGTTTACCTGTCGAAATAGAACTGTTTCTGAATCGCTCTTATATCAAAATTTGTCTCGCGACGTAAATGTTTCACGATTTTTCCCCGTCTGAAGAAACTTGTGACGTGATCACAATAATAAAGTGGCCATTCGAATACATTTATGCTAGGCACCTAAAAAAAGAAAAATGGGGTGGTACAGTGTCTCGCTATGATATTAGAGAGTTTTAGTAGATCGTTCCCATGACTCCGATAACGATATCCCGATACTCAGCCACCGCCTCCCTTGAGCATACATAGTATCGTTATCGGGGCTATCGGAGGTATCGGAACGATCTACTAAAACTCTCTATTGAGCCCAAAGTTGCTTTAATTAAACCAATCTGCGTTCCACTCGCAACGGGAACGGGGCTATCCAAGCGCACCTCGCGGCTTCAGCTCCGTCGGCTTTTCCGCATAGGTCGTTCGATCGTAAAATTTGGAGGAAAAACCGGCCGCGTCTCGCAACACTGTGAACTGTTGGGCCGGCAGTTAGTTGCTGGGAGTCGCTGGCTGCCGCAGCTGTTGCGCTTTTCGTGCTAAAACAGCCTTGTTTGCGCCAGAGTTCGTCTCGAAATGCTCTGTCGAACGCCCAAGGATAATTAGCGACGAGTGTAGACGGCCCATTCGATCCATATGTGCCGGTGACCGTCGAAGCGCAGTTCCTCCCGTTCTGGCGCGTCGTCGCCAGATCGCTCCTATGACCTGACGTACTACGGTGAGTTCTGCAAACACTCTGATCGCTCGACGACAACGCCTGCGAGTCCGGGTTTCTGACACGTCTTGTTTCACCCAACACTTTGGTGGCGAAGCTTGTGCTAGTTCAGCCTTTGTACGAAGTATCAAGAGAGTTATGTCTGCTCGTTTATTCTCAGGCGCTTTTATTCACTTGTGCTTTTTTCGTAGTAATGAGATCACGAATGCTGCGTGCGTTGATTACCTTTCGTATAAAGAAGTTTGTGCGATGAGTGTATTTTAAGTAGTCGGGAGGAAAAACATTTTCGGAGCTCGCTGTTTTTATCTTGTTTTGTTTCTCCTCGTTCCGATTTTTCGTGCAGTTTCCTTCCTCCTACCTATGAATTATGGACGTGCGTGCGAATGCTAAACTCGGCGAGCTTTATTTTTCAGTCTGTTGTCGTGAATGTTTTATGCGTTATGTTTTTTCCGAAATTTCGGCTGCACGTGCGGTTTTGGGTGGGTGCGACCTTTCGCGGCATCACAGTTTTGAATAACTTGGGTCTATGGCTCGTGACAGGCACCTAACGTATTGTAACTACATAAATCAACCTTGTTACTTGTCTCTTTTGCCTCCAATATTCATTTCTTCCAACCTGCTCGGAAAAATGCCGATATGTTTACTTCGTTACTTGCTACATGACTCGGGGATGAAGTGTGGGCAAGAGTTCAGTTTAAGGAATAACTACGCTTGTACACTGGCTGTGGATGCCTTACATTTGTCTCGTATGGTTTATTGGACTGTTGTTGAAAGCATTCCTCTAGCAATCTTCAACTTACTCTTAAGCTCATCATTTATATTAATGTTTTAGCTTGTATCATACCACCTCCAATGTTTTGATGCTCTTCATATTCTTGTGCAGAAAACTTACCAGAGCTTACCATTAAAAAAAAAAAAAACTCATAAAACACTATTTCACTTCTGCTAACTATCGCTCAAAACAAACACTACACATGTCTGAAGTAGACAGGGCGACTTTTTGTTTACATATACTTGTTCTTGAGAAAAGGCATTTAAAAGCCTCACCTTTCACTTCCTCCCCGACTACCCATATTCCTTCTCAGTTATAGTCACAGCCCCAATCGAGACAAAAAAGGAATCGTTTCTTAGCAATTAATGCTCCTCTTAATAAGCCTTGCCGATGGTAGAACATAGTAAGGCCGTAAACCCCGGGAGGCAAAATTTAAAAAAAAGGAAGCGCCGCGGCTTTCTATTAGCTGCTTTGGATTTGTATGCATCATGTACGTGTCTCGTTGACGTTCAAAAGCACCGTAAGCTTCCTTTTCATGACCCCGTTAAGGTCTGCAGCTTGAATTGGAAGTCGTGGAACGTTGAGTCTGTGAAAAAGCGGTTATCGTATTTTTCCAGTCTTTAGGTCACACCCTCCTATAAATGGCCATTTTCTCAAAAAAGTTTGCATATAAGATGCACTTCTTTGTCGGCGCTTTAATTGCCGGTCTACCCCTCCACACTTTGGATCGTTTTCCAACTGCCAGAAGGGTGGGCCTTCAGGGTTGTACGGGCCATGGTGGTGTATCCTGCCATTCCTCTTTTGTCATAAATGTCGGCGTGCCATACTTAAAAAAAGAAAATGCATATAAATTACTCCATTGTATAAAGCGAACCGACAAAAATGGAATAAAAAAAAAGTGTGACTTAAGCTGCAGTCACATTGCTGATGCATTTTTAAAAAGAAGACAGACGGGACACTGTCCGAGACATGCTTCTATGACAGTCCTGTCTCAATGGTCACACAGAAAATGTCTGCGGACATGTTTAAACCACGTTCGAAGCCAGTGTGCTTCGAACGTATGGCGTATGAGCGTCGTGACGGACTCAACGCTCGGAAAAATTTTTTACTTGGGGTGTGCGTGTCTTCTTGTCTCGCAGGCCTTGCTCCAAGCGCACGACGTGGTGTCGCACGAGGTGTACAGCGAGGAGGCAATCCGCGTGACACCCCCGCCCATGATGCCCTACCTCAACGGCAACCAGAGTGCGGACACCCCCTCGGATACCGACATGGAGCAGGTCACGCGGGTGCGCCTCGTCCAGTTCCAAAAGAACACCGACGAGCCCATGGTGCGTCGCCCGCCCTGCCAAGACGGCGGTTTTCGTAAACGTTCGCTAGGTGGCAGTAGCTGCCACCTAATTTATAGGGCTCAGCTGCATGCATCCATCGGCATTCGTGGCAGCCAGTAACTTTTCTCGTCGCTTTTCTGAAGGAGACAGTCGTGGTCAGTCGTAAAGATAGAAAACAAAACAAAAAAATGGAGGTAGCTGGGCGACTACTGCCGCAAGATGCCTGTGTGTTTCACAAAGTGTAGAGAAAATGAGGAGCAAGGATTTATTCTGTAAATAAATGGGTGAACGTGGGCTCATAAAAAAACTCATTGCCCTTTTTCCTGCTGCCGCCCCTTACATTTGGGTTAACTGCTCGTTTGTCAGGCTTTTTTTCTTCTGCCAATTTGTGGGTAGAAGATTTAGCTTGGGTGAAGTGTTTACTGAAGCCTAGGCATCTGTTCATATTGCCCAGTTTGTCGCCCACTGTTCTGGTTAATCTAATGCAGCAGGATGTGTGCTGGCATACATCTACATGACTAGCGTACATCTACATTGTTCAGTCGTCCTTTCACAGCACATTAGCCAGAAAGGGAAAAACGGTTTCTTCAAGCAGAAAGGAGCCATGTGTGTTCATTTTATGCGTTGTCTGTGCAAATATCGTAACTAAAATTCCAAACTTTCTGATGTTTTTTTTTTGGTGGTGGAATGGGGGGGGAGGGTTTTTTTTTTCTCCACAGGTTCTGTTCTTTTCGGGTAAATTGGCTAAGTTATAACTAGGATTTCATGTCTTTGGAATTTATTTTTCGTCAAATTCTAAGGTTTTTTTTTTTTTTTAAGTTTATTTGTTTGCCTAAAATTCATAGTTTATCGAAGTTCATTTGTGTTTGATCTCCATTTCTCCGATATTCTGAGTTTACTCTCACAGTGTTTCCTATTAAAAATAAATTAATAAATAAATAATATTTGGGAGTAAAAGTACGATAGATAAAAGAAATAAAATTTGCTTGTATCAATTAATATTTCTTCAGCTGGATTTGGCATTGGTGCCATTGCCATTGGCAATACTAATTTGTCCCAGCAACAGAAGTTGCATGCACGTGTTTCTTCGATAAACGCCGATACCTTAAAATTCATGGACTCTCGGATGTAGTCGCTGGGAAGGTCGTATCCCATCCTATTCCATCAACTTACCCTGCGGCCGTGCGAGGTGGAGTGATAAAGGATATGTAATAAAGAAGTTTGAACTGCCCCTCTTTTCTATGTTATGCAATGTCTATGGTCCATAGCTTTCACTTTTACAAAAACACAACCTCTCCTTCTTCTCAAACATAAATAGTAGCGCTCATACTGGAAATCAAAACAGTGGCTTTTGTTGTGACGTGAAAGTATGATGACCTGTTGTCCTGAATGAACCTTGACGAGATGAGCGGGAAGATCCCTTCTGTCAGTGGTCCGAGGTTTCAAAGTAAACTGCGGTGGCATTTTCCCTGTGCACTGATCAAACTTATCTGTAAAAAAAGTTGACTTTCTTTTTTTTCTTTTTTTTTAGTTTATCAGGTAAAGTTTAACTGGCTAAAATTTTACCGGTGGATGTTTTTCGGAGATTTTCGGATTTATCTGAAAACATGTAACCCCAGTTATAACCAATTTGAACAAAAACCACTGAACCTGTGGGGAAAATACTCCCCCCCTTCCCCCCCCCCCCCCCCCCCCCCCCCCCGAAAATATCCTAGATTTCTATATTCTTATAGGAAATAAATGAACTCTGAAAACACGGTACCCTATAAAAAGTCATAACCTTCTTTGAACTCTTCAGTATACGAGTAGCAACTACTCTAGGAGATCGTTATCGATGTAGTCAAAAAGTGATTCATAAAGGATCCAAGCATCGTTGCTAATCTGTTTTTTGCTCTCAACTCCAGGGGCGGGGACAAGAAGGCAGCCACTAGAGAAACAACAATGTGTTTAACAGTGGCTTCAGCAGAAGCAGTTGTCTCTAACGCATTGCTGGTGTCTTGCAGGGCATCACTCTCAAGTTGGACGAAGATGGACGTTGTATCGTGGCTCGCATCATGCACGGGGGCATGATCCATAGGCAAGGTAGGCAAAGGGCATGTCCTCTAAACCTAAGTGTAAAAGTACTACGAAAATTTTACAACAATTGACCTGGTTGCATGTGTTTACAGTTTGAATGTGTCAGTTCTAAATGCAGAAGTAATACGCAGATGAGATGTTCTCGTGTTACGCTGTCTCGCTTTGTCGTCTGTGAACGCATAGCCTCAATTGTATAGAGGACGGTTTCTTGGCCGCACATTTTACTTTCTTGTATCCACCGCAAGACGTTAGTACTGACAGTGGGCGTGTAACTGTGTTGTCTTTGCAGCGACCCTGCATGTTGGCGACGAAATACGCGAAATCAACGGCATCAGCGTTGCCAATCAGACAGTGGAAAGCTTGCAGAGGATGCTTGTAAGTCTATTTGAGCATACTGACTTCTTAGAGTCTTGCTGTAGTATTTGTCTAGCACGAGCCACTTCCTTCGATGCGGCATGAAATATTTTGTACAACGTCGAAGTCTCAAACATAACCAGTGAGAAATATGGGGGGTGATCTTGCGGTGCTACTACAATGTAATTTTATTAAAAAAAACAAGCAATCGGTATGCGGGCACTCAGTACGATCTCTCGCGACATGGAAACTGATGCTGCTTATCACGAACACGGCAAACTTGCAGCCCATAGTCCTGTTTCTTGACTCCAAGAATGTTTTTGCGATTAAGCTGGTCAACCAATGGAAAGTATAATTTTTTTTGTCTATTGGACAAGTGCAATTTATTTGGGGATGACCCATGCTGCAGTGGCTGCTTGCGCTACACTCGCGTGCATTAAACTTGCATTAAACTTGCATCTGCAGTTGGCATGACTGTATCATATGGCAGCACGGGAAAATGAGCACCACTGTATTCAACCGCACCTTGTGCCACCTAGCTGCAAGTGGTGGCGCTGATGAAAACTAGTGATGGGCCGAACTTTTGCCAAACCAAAAATTAGGCACCGAACCTTTAGATTCGGCAAAGCCAAACTTTTGCCAAACTTTTCTAAAGATTTAACAAAGATTCAGCAAAAATACATTGTTACCAGACTTAACGTTGACATTTTTTTTTTCTTATATTAAATGCAACATGTAATGCATCTTGACACAGTTGTTAATAAGGGGACATTCCTCAAGATAATTATATCGGTGTCATTTTTGTGTGTTTACTGGCACTTTTACAGTGACTTTTTGCAGAAGTGGAGTGATAACGACGTTGGGTATTAGCGGGCATTGTCTCGAATCGTGCTACGAGAGTTTAGGTCTTGAGGCCTCATCAGCGCAAGTTTGCAAGTGTGTGTACATCGTTAAAGTAAATGCAATAACACTGCATTCTTACTTTCTCTGGGAGTCACCGTTTTGTCCGCAAAAACAAATGCAACGGTTGCTGAGCCTTCACTAGAAGAGATAACAATATTATTGTAAATATGCAGGTTTTTAGATTTGAGTCACTTCACATCAACTTTGCATGAAAGTGCGCGTCTCATATTTGCAACGTCTCGTTTTTAACCTTTAAAATGCCGGTTCCTGATGTTAGGACACACACGTATTAGGGTTGTGCGAATATTCAAAATTTCTAATAGTAGTTTCGAATAATATACTATTCAATATTTGCTTTAAGAAGAACTACACTACTCGTGTTTTTCAAAGTGTTGATTGCGGAAGGTTAGCCCCGTTGAGTGCGCTTCTTACCGAGCACCGGTGCACTGCAGCAAAAGCAATACCCGCGGAAGCAAGCTCCACGGGTATTGCTTCTCTGCATTACATCAGTGCTCGGTAAGAAGCGCACTGAACGAGGTAACCGACCGCAATAAAAACTTGGAAAAGTATGAATATCGCAATTGTGTGCTTGGAAGAAAAGCATACATTCAAAGCGGGATGGTGCACGCGTGCCGTCTGCATTTTAAAATAAACGGAAACTTTGTGAATGTGTATATCTACATTGTAGTAAAAGTTTCAAAATTAAACTGACTGTTATGCAAGAGTATACAATGTTAGGCTGAGATGCCCTTTCAACCTGTATTCCTCATGCGCAATTTATTCTTTTTTAACTCGAGATTAAAGAAAGAATATTTTATGTAGCAAGATTTGTAAATTCACTCAATTGGGTATAGTTGGCCATCTCTATACAATTCATTTTATGTCAAATCCATCGTTTACTTGCCATCCCCAGACATCAGACATTCTGAGGTCACAGTTCATAAATATAAACTTAGCTTATAAATGAACAAGTTTAACAACCTTCACAAGTTTAGCTGGGTTTTTGTCTAAGCATTATGCTATGTTAGGGAAAGGCGTGGAAAAACTATTCGATATTCGTATCGAAAATATTCGGCCAAAACTACTATTCGCTTTGAATTCATTTCGAACTCAAAATCCACATTTCGCACAAGACGGACACATACGTTTAGGAAGATAAGAAGAGTTAGGAATGTCGGATGTGCAACGTCGAACATGATATTTCTGTGTTTAGCTTTATGCAGATACGTGAAAACCGCAAAATAGTGCTAATTAAAAAGCAATATTATCTTGTTTTGGCACAAACTACTTGCGTGCTGAAAGCAGGATTCTTATAATTACAAGGAGTGCTTTAAAGTAATTGTCAGTCACTGTTTCAACCACCTCATTGAATAACTGGAAAGATGAAATAAAAATCATGTCATCCAGAATGTACCGCATCATGTGCGTAAATTACTGGTTGATCTTCTGTTCTTGAGGCAGGAAATATTGGAAGAGAACCATACTCGCAAAGGCTCGGAAACACACAGTTACAGTGTTGCTTACCCTGCACCTCGCCGTAACTGCTGGTTGTACTGCACTGTGCGATGGTCACCGCATGGCATCCATTTGCAATCCATGGCCCCGTTGCATTCTCACGCGTGCACAGACGTTTGCCAAACTTTCATTCAAGAGTGTGGCATGGGCCAAACTTTGTTGAATCTGAAGTATGGCATATTCGGTCCATCACTAGCGAAAACCATGCGGGCTGCACGCCTCTGTCACTCTCAGCTAGGTGGTGCAAGGTGTCACTCAGTTTGGAGGTTGGGCATTTAGGTGGAAAAACGATGGGCAATCTTTTGGCTGTGGGCGTTTTTTTCTGATTTTACTGTGCAAACATCCACTGACATTCACCTTTATATATACACTAGTAAAAAAATTCAAAGTTCATGCCCACATGCAACCTAAATTTTGTGCCGTAATAATCGCAAGTTTGTATTGGCTTCCAATGATTTGTTAAACATAGTCAGGTACAAACTGTGCTGGAAATCGGTTTGCAGAGCCCCTTCACCATAGGCACATAAAGTTAGTTTCTTCTTCAGCTTACTGGTCTGTCGCAATTCTTCGCCAGTGTTACAGCCATACGCGACGATCGTCGTTGACGCTTAATCCTAACTCTGCTTCCCCTTTTTTCCTGGTGCAGAGGGACGCTCGAGGAAGTGTGACGTTCAAGATCATCCCCAGCTACCGCAGTGCCCCTCCTCCCTGTGAGGTAAACTTTCAGTACGCTTCGGAAGTGGCCCATTGGCTGAGAATCTATTGCGGCGGCACAGCCGCGTGTCACTTGTGAAACCGTCGGGCCAGAACAAAGAAGTTCAGTAGAGAGCAGCGAGCAGTCAGAGCCTTCTTGCCTGAGATGACTTCCCACCTGTTGTTTCGTGAAACTTGTTGCTATTCTTTTGCTTTTGATAGCGTCATCCTGTTTAGTTTACCTCCCTTTCTTCAGGGAATTCATTTGGGGGGCAGTGGAGTTTGTAGAGGTAGAGGCATACCTCCCCTCGTCTTTGTGTTGGCGTGCAGCGTTTATTTATCGGTGGATCAGTGTTCTCGACATTTGGTGCTGTTTGCCTTCTCAAACGATCTTTGCTGGTTCAGTGCTCTCTATTCAAGTGCTACTTTTTGTTTGTTCTTTACTTTTTGAGTGCTGATAACCGGCATGTTGTGTGTTGTGTGCATGACCCTTTGATATAAAGAGAGTGCCTACAGGGACAAAAAGCCTCGTTTGCTTGAAATATGCACCGACGCAGATGCTGCAGTTATGGAAACTTTGCCATGTTGGAATGGCGTCGGATGTAGGCTTTGATCCAGTTTAGACGGACGTCAGCTTTATTTATCGTATGTTTAGACTGCAAGCTGTACAATGCTGCATAAGTTGTAGGACGGAACCAATTGTAGTGGCTAGGCAACTTTGCTCATAGGTACATCAGGTTTAAGCGACGATACTCTAAATCAGAGGCGGATGCAGGAATTTCCTGAGGGGGGGTCAGGTGTTGGTCAGCGTACCATATGTTCAGGAACCCCCCCCCCCCCTCTCCCTCGTTTCACGCCCTAAATTTTACACATGCAGAAATCAAGGGAGGGGTCAGGACATCTGGAGCCCCCCTCTAAATCCGCCCCTGCTCTAAATCTCCTCAGTTCATCCCGGCTCTCTTGGGCTGCAACTGTTAATGTTTCACGTGCTTGTTGCATTAGTGTTTTCTGGCTTCATCTGCACACAAAATGATGTTTTTCACACCATAGCACCCACTATGAATTTTTTAATCCGAATTTCACAGCACGGTCATAATGAAGTCAGCTTTCCAAATACATTCTGTCCCCAAAAATAAGGATTGGTTAATTATCCTGCTAATTATTTCATTTTGCCCAAAAAAACATAATTTGTTTTTGTATTTTAGATTTTGCGTTTAGCTTATATTTTATATGTAAGCATGATTGACCTGAATATTTGTGTATCTCCAGTCGAATTTGCTGTTTATTCACTTTGAAAAAATGAGAGTAGAAGGTACACATGCAGTTCCTTACAATAGCAAATTCTTAAAAAAATGAAATTCTGTGGTTGCTGCCATATGCGAGGCATTATGTGCTTAACTTTCTCTGGTATCCTACCTTGGGAGGTGCTTAGGATAATTGCCCTAGCGAAAGCAACTGAGATTTCACTCGTTAACACGTCCATCAGTGCCTGGCATCATAGTACCAATGAGCTACTCAAGCATGCCTTATGAAGATAGCAACATACTGGTGCTCAGATGTTTCTTTGTAGACTGTTCACATTTGTGTCCTGATCAATCATCTCGGTGCCGTTGTGCCGTGTTGTTACCCTGTAGTAGCATGCAGTTCTTGTGACTTGCTGGCTGACCTTACGAAGACCTGTGTTTGGAGAGCACGTTGAGATAGCTACCGCTACCTCGTTTTATTGCTTTGTTGGTTGCGATTCATGCTCGAGTAGAAACCTCTTATCTCTAATGTAGCAGTGTCACAAAAATATTTCTTGATTTGTGTGCTTAACCGACAGGCCCCCCGAGATGTCCTTAGAGCAAAGCATGCTTTCTGGGAATCAAGCTTTTGACCTATGTTGTTGAATTTTTTTTTTTCGTATCCTGTTTCTCTTTTCTTGGCAGGTTTGATGGCTTTTTTGTTGCTTTTGTGTTCTTTCTTGTTCGAAATAGGTTGCAATGCTGCACTTTTATTGAAAAGACCTGTTTTATTGAAAAGTGTTTTTGCTAACGTATTTTTTTTAAATGTTCGATGTAATTCAGAATCAAGCAGTCTTGCATCTGAAGGTTTTTTTAACAAAAATATTGTATAAGGCAATATAAAAAATATTGCAACTGGTTCAGATACTCTTTACAAGTACATATTAATTTTATCCAGTGTCTCGTCTGATGTAGTCAAGGTCACATAGTATAATACTCTGAAACTTCTATACTTATAAAGTATCCTTATTAGATCACTAAAAAAGTCTGCATAATATAGACTGACAGATTCTCGCTTCCAGTACATTTTTGAGCATCAACATGAAAATACTGCTGCACCAAATTATATTTCCCAATTGTTATTTGCTTACAAAATATTTTACGAAAATTACTTTATCTTTCTGCCAGAGGACTTGTTTTCTCAATTAAGACAGATTTTCAATGTGAAATAGGGCTATTTTTTTGTGTGTCTAAGAGAGGGAAGAAAAAACCATTAATTTTATGTTACTATATTTTCTCAAAAATGAACCAAGTGATGTCGCAATATTTTCTGAGACCATAAACACATAAAATATATTAGCAAACTGCTTTTCAGTAACTATTTTTGCCATCACTTTTTAAGAAAAACGAAAAGGTGACATGCTATTTTTGGGCTTGTGGAGATTGCAACCTTAATCTTCTTGAGAGTTTGAGTGAATTCAGCCTCGATACGCTTATATCAACAAGCTGTCCGTCCGGCGTTTAAAACAGCACTGCGTTACGAAGTACAAATTCTAAGTTGCCTCTCTGAGAATGGGATGAATCAATGTTTGGTAGCGTTCACTGTCAGTTAGACTACATCTGGGATTCTTTTTTCAAGCAGCAGTATGAAGGTGGTGATGCTTACGTGAGTGTGACCCAGAGTTGATTCTGGCTGCTGATTTCACTTCTCTGCTTCTTCCTCCACTAGTTTCTTTCCATCACTAAGGCTTTCCTTGGTTACAAATCTTGTCTGGCTCATAATTTTTGGTTGGTTCCTTTGCTCTAGGAATTAGTTGTCTTTGTGTTTTTGTTTTGTGTGTGCTAATAAACCACCTTTATTTATTTTATTTTTTTTATTTTATTTATTTTGCAAAAGTATGGAGTGCCACTTTTTTGCTGTCTTTGCTTCTCTGTGCTTTGGGTCTGGTGAGTTGATAGAAAGGTACTAATGTGCAAGGGTTGCTTCCAGGGTCCATACCGCTATATGTTCATCTAATGTGGAAGACAATGAAGGCTACAAACGTGGGCGGATAGCTTTGCTTGACTCTCCTGCTGCTTGATCATTTATGCTGGTGAGACATACCTAAAACAGTGCACACGCACAGGGGGAAGAAAGTAGAAGACACGAAAGAGCGCTGGCTCCCAACTTATGTATTGTGAAAGAAAAAGAGGAAGCTTCAGACATGAAGCTTCCTCTTTTTCTTTCACAATACATAAGTTGTGTTTACCTTGTTCGTAAGTTCTTTTTACCTTCTGGGTGCACATGGGCTTCAGACATGAAGCCCATGTGCACCCACAAGGTAAAGAGAAGAAATAAGAAAAACAGATACATTATTGAAGAGGAGGAAAAAATGCATTACTAAAAAAGAAAGAAAGAAAAAGAGGAAAAACCTTTGCATAAAGTACAGGCCATACAAGATCACTTGTATGCTCTGGCTAGGAAGCCTACCTCCTTGTCACTCAAAGATAGTGAAGGGTGACTCGCACACCACTGGCCTGATTTTCGGATGTGATAGGCATCTAAAATTTCTCTAGTTTGCCAATTTCGATATCATCCTAATACATTGTTGCGTCCGAAAAAGTTGGTGAGCATTGACAGGTGAGGCAGTGTAAGGGCAGGAGGCCTCCCACGGTGGCGTGAAGTGAATAGAAATGTTCACGGAGTCGGTCATTAAGACATCTTCCAGTCTGTACAAAATAACAACCCCCACACATTAGGGGGATCCTGTGCACAACACCCTCTGAGCAGGGAACAAACTGGTGCTTGTGACGTTTCTGGTACTCTGGTAATTGTCAATAACAGAACAAATTTTAGAACAGATCTTGGCCATCTTGTCTTAGGTATATCTTGTTTTAGGTATGTCTTCTAAGTACCAGCTAGCTCAACTTTCTATGTTGCTATGCTGCCGGGACACATTCATCAACAAAGAACTCATGTTTGTAGCCTTCGCTGCACTTTATATTGAGATGAGTCAGAATACGGGGGCAACTGTTTTGCTACAACAAAGTAGAACTTTTAAAAAAGTAGCTATAGTACACACGGCTTTTCATACATTTATAAACAGAAGGTTAATATGTTGAGTGTTTTGTTTGAATATGTGTTTGTGTTGCCTGCTATTGAATTAACTCTCTTTCAAACTGATATTTGTTTTTCATGTTTCCATACCTGTTATCTCATGAATAGCAATAAAGCGTATACATTCGTACAGGATTGTTATGAATTCAGCATGCTTCAACTTCTGGACAGAGCAGTAATGCAGGATGTTGCTTTATTTTCTAACGCACTCTCGACAGTCTCCTAGTAAATTTGTATTTTCAGTGGTCTGTTCACAACTAACTATTTCAGCAGTGTGTGAGTTACTTTTCACACGTAATGTGCCTTTGCATATGTGAGTGCATACCACACAATATCATAAGAAGCTCAGGTTTGATTACTAAAATGCATACTAAAACTCAAAAGCTTTGAGTTGCTACTCTCTAAGAAAAATGTGTGATAAAATATAAATTTTTACTTTTTTTATTTTAAACTTTATTTCATCGCAATTCTGGTGAAGGGAGGTATCAACATTCATTAATGATTCAAAAGGAAAGCTTTAATTTATTTTGGCTCCGATAGCATACCTATTAAAATGAATAAAATTGGCTGTATTGTCTGTTTCAAGGACGAAGCATTTGTAAGTGTCTCATCACGTATTTGGCCTTCTAGAATTATACGAAGAAATTGTGAATATACATAGTACAGTCAAGGAAATTTTAAAGGGTAATTGACAGCTTGCCC